TGCACACTGCTGGCTCATACTTAAATGGTTACCCACTAGGACTTGAAGATCCCTCTCATGGTTACTACTATTGACCAAGGTCCCACCTATAATGTACCTGTGCATTTCGTTTTTCTTGCTTAAATGTAGAACCTTACTCTTTTCATCATTGAATTTCATTTTATTAGATAGTGCCCAATGTTCAGGTTTGTCAAGATCTTTCTGTATCTTTAGCCTGTCTTCTGGAGTGTTGGCTATTCCTGCCAGCTTGGTGTCATCTGCAAATTTGATGAGTTCCTCATTTATTCCCTCATCCAAATCATTGATGAAGATGTTAAAGAGTACTGGGTTAAATTGCAATTAATTAATAATTAGGTTGGTAGGAATTAATTGTGATTGGTGAAATTGCAATTAATTAATTAGGTTGGTAGGATTTAACTGCAGTTGATTAAACTGTGAGGTGGATCTTGGAGTCTTAATGGACAATATGAGCCAGCAGTGTGCAGCAGCTGCGGAAAAAAGCCAATACAGTTCTAGGCTACATAAACAGGAATATAATCAATATCTCATGTGAAGTGTTAATATCACTTTATAATGCCTTGGTAAGGCTACACTTGGAAAAGTGTATCCAGTTCTGGTCACTACAATGTAAAAAAAGATGTTGAGACTCTAGAAAGACTGCAGAGAAAAGCAACAAAGATGATTAGGGACTGCAGGCTAAAACATGAAGAATGGTTGCAGGAATTGGGTATGGCTAGTTTAGTGGAAAGAAGGACCAGGGGCAGTGGTGAAATTCAAATTTTTTTTACTACCAGTTCTGTGGGCATGGCTTGGTTGGGCGTAGCAGGGGAAGGATACTGCAAAATCCCTATTCACTCCCCACTCCTGGGCGAAAGATTTTTGCAAAATCTCAATTCCCACCCAACTCTGGAGCCAGCCAGACGTCGTATTTGCCTGTTACCTGTCAGAACCTGCTGAATTTCACCCCTGACTAGGGGAGACATGATAGCAGTGTTCCAATATCTCAGGGGCTCCCACAAAGGAGAGGGAGTCAAACTATTCTCCAAAGCACCTGAGGGCAGGACAAGAAGCAATGGATGGAAACTAATCAAGGAGAGAAACAACTTAGAACTGAGGAGAAATTTCTGGTAGTTAATCATTGGACCAACTTGCCTCCAGAAGTTGTGACTACTCCAACACTGGAATTTTTAAAAAAGTGATTGGATAACCATTTGTCTGAAGTGGTGTTGGGTTTCCTGCCCAGGCAGGGGGTTGGACTAGAAGACCTCCAAGGTCCCTTCCAACTGTTATTCTATTCTAAATTGGAATTAATTAAATTGATAAGAGTTTAACTGCAATTGGTTACATTGCAATTGATAATTAGATTGGTAGGAATTAACTGCAGTTGTTAAGTTGCAATTAATTTGATTGGTAAGGATTTAACTGCAAGCCCCTTACCATCCTTCTTGCTCTTCTTTGCATGTTTTCCAGTTTCTTATCTGTCCTTTGGTACCGAGGCAACCAGAACTGGACACAATGCAGGTAGTTCTCAACTTACGACTGCAATGGAGCCCAACATTCATGCTGTTAAGTGAGCTTTGCCCCATTTTACGTCTTTTCTTACTGTGGTTATTAAGCAAATCAGTGCAGTTGATAATTTCCTAACCCGGTTGTGAAGTGAATCCGGCTTCCCCATTGACTTTGCTTGTCAGAAGGTCACAAAAGTGCCTTCCCATGACCTTGGGATACAACAACAGTCATAAATATGAACCAGTTGCCAAGCAGCTGAATTTTGATCCCATGATGATTGGGAATGCTGCAAAGATCATAACTGTGAAAAACAGTCGCAAGTCACGTTTTACAGTGCTTTTGTAACTTTGAACGGTCACTAAATGAACTGTTGTACATCTTGGACTGCCTGTGTTATAGATGTGGGCTGACCAGTCCAGCACAGAGCTGGACTGTCACTTCCTATGATGTTGATACTGCATTTCTCTTGATGTAGGCCAATATTACATTAAAGCTTTTGGCTGCTGCAACATGGCTCATGCTTAATCTGTGGTTTTTCAGATCATCCAGTTCAGTGGTGAAATCTAATCCCCCCACCACTGGTTCTGTGGGCATGGCTTGGTGGGGCGGGGGTCATGTGACGGTGGGTGTGACCAACTTTTTTTCCCACTTTTAGCTTTTTTTTGTAGCTTTTTAAAGCGTTTTTAAATGCTTTTAAAAACAAAAAAAGCTTCTGAAAATCATGGTGAAATCTAATCCCCCCCACTGTTTCTGTGGGCGTGGCTTGGTGGGGGCAGGGGTCATCTGACGGTGGGTGTGACCAACTTTTTTTTTCACTTTTAGCTTTTTTTGTAGCTTTTTAAAGCGTTTTTAAATGCTTTTAAAAACAAAAAAAAGCTTCTGAAAATCATGGTGAAATCTACCCCCCCCCCTGTTTCTGTGGGCATGGCTTGGTGGGGGTGGGGGTCATGTGACGGTGGGTGTGACCAACTTTTTTTTTCACTTTTAGCTTTTTTTGTAGCTTTTTAAAGCGTTTTTAAATGCTTTTAAAAACAAAGCTTCTGAAAATCGTGGTGAAATCTAACCCCCCCCCAACTGTTTCTGTGGGCGTGGCTTGGTGGGGGCGGGAGTCATGTGACGGTGGGTGTGACCAACTTTTTTTCACTTTTAGCTTTTTTTAAGCTTTTTAAAGCATTTTTAAATGCTTTTAAAAACGCAAAAAAAAAAGGTTCTGAAAATCGTGCGGCTCACAGCTGAGCTGTGCGATCCTCGGAAACGTTTTTGTTNACTGCTGAAGGAGGAAAATCCTTGGAAGGGAAGAGAGAAAGAATCACAGTGAAAAGTGAGCATTCAACTACCATTCTATGGTGCTGCTGTTACATTTATAGTCTACCCCCTTGATCCTTCTTCTGGATCTCACCTGCATTTCATTCTCCTGAAATTTCTCCACCACCACCACCACCAACCTTTGTTTCCCACCTCTAAATTTGTTCATCTTCTACTCACAAAGGCCTGTAGAGGAGGGCCTTAATAGAGAGAGGGGAGATCTGTATCAAAGAAACCAGGACCGGGAAAACCCCGGTCCAAACCAGGGGTCAGCAACTCGTGGCTCTGGAGCTGCATGTGGCTCTTTCATCCCTCTGCTGCAGCTCCCCGTTGCTCAAAATATGTGCCAATGTGTGATACCCACCAGCACATGAT